CAAGACTAAAAATTAATGTATCCTCGTGTCATAGCAAGCCTTGAAGGCCATGTCCAAAAATGTGGGGAAAGGGGTTCAGGCCCTCGATTTAATTTCTGCTACTTGCGTCTGCTGTCAGGCAAGACTGACTGATGAAATGAGCTGTTAGAATGGCTTGTCCTTCTACAGTCTCTGGGTTCAGGTTAGTAAACTTTCTTATAGCCTCAGCAAATTCAGCCTGGAATAATGCAGGATTTCTTTTTTTGAATTGAGTAACTTGCCTCAGTTTTCTATAATTGACTGGTTTCACAATTGCCATCTGCCCCCCCTGAAAGACACAGGTGATCACACAGCCTCTGCTTCTATGACAGATCTTGGACTTGTGAACTGGGGTCAGTGGTAAGGCTCTGCCAGACATATCAGCTTTTAAGAAATCTTATGTATTTTTAGGACACTCCCATTAGTTTCCATTTACGTTGAGAAGGTGTAGCAGTATTTATGACAATGCTTCCTGTGAGCTACTAATGTACCCTGATTGACCCAATTTGTTTTTTACAAGGAAAACACATTTATTGGCTATCTTAGGAGTCCTTTTAGGAAAAAGAATTTAATATCTCAGAGTTTTTGATATCAGGGAAGTTATAGGGTTAACATAGATTTTAAAAAATAATTACTCAGAGTAAGAATAGATCAACATTTAGATAAGGCTCAACAATGCTGATAGGATAAGACTTTTTTAAAATATTTTTTCTCTTTTATTTTTCAAAAACTCATTTATTGATGCATACAAGAACTGGGTACAAGCCAGAGGTGCAGGGGGGTCTCTCCTTACAGACACAGCGTGGGGAGCAGAAAAGACAGATTGACTGAAATATACTGCTGAGGGGAGCAGCAGGTGGGACAGGAGAGGTCTGCTGTGCCACATGGGTCACCTCCCTGGCTGGGGATCGAACTGGTGCTGCAGTGGCTGCAGACAGCTTCATAGTGCAATGATTTAACCCATCACGCAACCAGGGAGGGCCTGATAGGATAAGGTTTTCTTCCGCCGGATAACCTGAGGGTAAAAGAGCACCAAGATTTTCAGATTATTTAAGTAGTCTTTAATTTGTTCTGGGAAACAGTTTAATCTTTTTTTCTCATCTGTAAAAAAGACTGTTGCATCAACACCACCGCACTGACAAAGAAAAGAAACGGGAGTGTGGAGCAGGCTGTGGGATGCAGGATGCTGTGAAAAAGCGGGAATCTGGCCCTTTTATTGACAAAGAAAAGGGTGGTCAAACTGAACACTGCATTTTGGGCTTTCGGAGAGGGAGTCCCTGATACACTCCGACTCCCAACCATGGCTCCGATCTCATTAACAAGGCAGTCAGCTGCCTCTCATTTTTTTTTTTAAAGATTTATTTCTTTATTCATACAGAACTGGAGTACAGGCCAGAGATGCGGAGGGTGAGAGGCTTCACCAGAGACAGAGTGGGGAGCAGAACAGACAGATCAACGAAGTACACTGCTGAGGGGAGCAGCTGGTGGACCAGGAGAGGTCTGCTGCGCCATGTGAATCTCCTTCAGGGCAAGCGGGGATTGAACTCATGTAGAAGGGACTTAAGCTTCTTAGTGCTGTGCTTTAACCTGCTGCACCACCAGGGAGGGCCCCTCAGCTGCCTCTCATTTTAATGGCAGTTTCCATCACTGTGCGGACGCTTCTGATGGGGTTCCGGTGCCTTGTCTTTGCTTTTATTCCTTGGAGCACAGAAGATATTTAGTGCAGTGAAAATACCCTGCATGATATTATAGTGATGGGTACAGATCATTACCCACTTGTCTAAAACCAACATAAGGTACTACACCAGAGTGAACCCTAAGTGAACCTATGACTTTGAAACATTATAATCAGCACTGTGAAGCTATTCACAGCCACTACAGCATAAGTTGGATCCTCGGCCAGGGAGCTGACCCACATGGTACAGCAGACCTCTCCTGACACGCCCGCTGCTCCCCTCAGCAGATGATACCACTTGTAACCAATGTACCACTCTGGTCTTACTACATGATTTGAAAATATTACTACATGCACATAAAAGAACATTTAAATAACACTAAAGGACACAAATAGGCAAGTCATTCCCCAACACCCCAGTCAGTCAGTCAGTATCTGCTCAAAATCAGTTAGCAATTTATCATTTCTCTTCAAAAAAAATATACCCATGCTTCTGTATGGACAATAGTGTTTGTTTTCCCATCAGCTCAGGACAGAGAGTGGGGAAAACATTTGCAAATCATGATTCTGACACAGGACTGTAGCTAGAATTTACAAAATAACCCTTAAGACAACAATCAGGCCCTCCCTGGTGGCACAATGGGTTAAAAGCACAGCACTATGAAGCTATCTGCAGCCACCAGGTTGCTGACCCAGAAGGAGCAGCAGACCTCTCCTGACCCGCCCGCTGCTCCCCTCAGCAGTATATTTCAGTGGATCTGCCTGTTCTGCCCCCCACTCTGTCTCTGGTGAATTCTCTCACTCCCCTGCACCTCTGGCCTGTACCCCAGTTGTACACATAAATAAATAAATGTTGAAAAAAATTAACTATCAGGAAAGGAAATAACAGTTTTTTAAAAGACAGAAACAATATTGAAAGTCAATGGTACATAAATGTTAAAAAATGAACAAAAGATGATAACAGACACTTCACCCAGATCAGACACAGACAAGTGAGTGTGAGCAGGTGTCAGTGTCACAGGTCACCAGGGAAAGACAGTAAGAACAACTGTGATGCCTCACACCAGGCCGGGGCTGAAAATCCCAGCACCCCACAGCACCCGGGGCCACCCAGGGGTGGCCAGCAGGTGCCTCCTCATGGCGGCAGGAAGCAAATGGCAGCAGTCACCGGGGAAGCCGGTTGCCAGTTTCTGTGAAAACCAAACCACCAGACTCTACTGCCTGTGATCTCCCCGAGCCAGTGACCCAACTGGTGTGAAATCTCATATTTGCACAAAATTTCCACATACATGCTATACATAGCAGAACACCTATGAATTGTAAGCTGCCACAGTGATTTCCTTTCAAAGACAACAGCATCTTAAAAAATGGAACAAAAAAGAAGCTTTGCAGGATGAAACCTGGGAATCTACATTAGCCTGGTGTTGACGATTGGGATCAGTGATCAGTCAGGTGGAAATAATATCCACTTGATATTCTGGGTGGAGAACGGCTCTGCACACCTGTGGCTTACTTTCCTAAAGCCCAAAGTCCCAGTAAAAAAGAAAAGAGAGAGAGAAGCCTGAATTCAAGGGACATTATTCCTGCACAGTGCTACAAAAACAATGTCAGTGTTACAAAAACAATCAAGTCTGAGAAACTGTCAGCCAGAAGCGCCTTAAGGAGAACTGGCTGGAACTGAATAGGGCACACTGGGTGGAACACAAAAAGGACATTAGCAAAAGCTAATTAAATACAAGTTGTGTGTGGAGTTTGGTAAATGTGTCAATATTGGTTCATTAGCGGTAACAATCTCCAGTCATTAAGCTGTTAACAAGATGTATACGTGGTAGGGGGTTACAAGAAATCCACTACTTTTGCCACGTTTCTAAATGTTTTATTGTTTGTAAAAACCCATCCTCGATATAGTAATAGGTTGTAGAAGGCAAAAAATGACGTACTTTTCCCAAGTTTTGTCTCAAAGAACTGGAGAGAAGGTTCTGGAAAGAAAGATGGAGACCTCGCACACAGGGCTGGAATCAGGAGTCTCCTCTCCTCTAGGCCCGTGTTCTCTGACTCCCCACAGAGCATCTCAGCCCCAGGACGCCGCCCCCGGGAAAACTCACTCTGCCCACTCAGACCCGTCCAGTCCTGGCGGCTCAGCCAGAATCCAGAGCGGCGCAGCAGCGCCTCCGTGTGGCCACAGGGCTGAGCGCAGGAGCCCAGAGCCGCCCTTTCCTCTGCTCAGCCAGGCACCCCAGGGCACCCAGGGCTCCCAGCTGCAGGACAGGGATCTTCACAGTAGGGGGCGCCCAAGTCCTGTGTCAGTTCCATTGTCAGTTTCTAGCCAGTGTCTTTGGACTTGGGACATAACAACTGATGCCTAGATTCTGGCTAAATCCCCACGCATAGAGGTTGCCTCAGTCTCTTGGGATGAAACTTGGACTCCAGAGTCCCTGTAAACTGTTTCTGCGTCTGATTTCAGGGATGAAAGCAGCTGCTCCTGGGCATCACCCCTAAATTCTCCATCCACAAGATGGGGGGGAGGGTAGGAGAGCCCCCGGGGCCCTGGCTGGAAGATGGGGAGGCTCCTGGGAGAGTGAGCAAGGGATGGAAATGGAGACTTTAGGGGATGGAGGGGGAAGGGAGCTGGGGGGCACCAGAGAGGATGGGGCCAGGAAGGGGCAGTTTGGGGAACACTGTGAGGGAGGGTCTGTGTGGTGACCGGCTCTAGCTGGGCTGGGAGAGCCTGTGTCACCTGGTGGGTGCAGAGGGGGGCGGTGCTGTGACTGACCAGGAAACCGCAAGTTGGGGCCTTTCCTGTCCTTGTGGGACAGGTATAACTCAAACAAACACTCTCAGGATCATGAACAGTTGAGAGGGGCCAAGTGGTTAAGGGGCCTTATCCAGAACTGAACATCTCCCTCAACTCCCCAATGCTGGGGGCCAGGGAGACCCAGGGAGTCTAGAGGAGGCAGAGCAAGGCCTGTGCTGCCCGGGGGACCAGCCCTGGGCTGATTCTGGGGCTCCAGGGCCCCCTCCCTGCAGGCGGGTCAGAGTCAGCCCTGCTCACAGCTCAGGCTGCCGGACAGCCCCTGTGGTGTGTGTGCAGACGCCGCTCTGGAGCTGCATGAAAACACCAAACAAAATCAAAACAAAAAGGAAGGGGCAAGCACAAGGGACTGTGGAGATGTTGCACAGGTGAATTGGTGGTGGGAAGTCTATGGAGACGACACCTGAGAAGAGAAGCAAACACTACAAAAATGAACAACAAACTCAAATATGTAAATAAACCTGTAACAAATCAAAATGGAATTATAAATAGAAGTAATATAAAAATCACTTTTATTTTCAAGGACACTTCAGGGGACATAGAATTCTTGTCTGACAGCTTGTTTCTATCAGGGCCTTGACTGTCACTCTAGCTGCTTCTGGCCTCCACTGTTTCTTGTGAGAAAACAACACTTCATCTCCCTAAGTGTTCAGTGTCTTGTACCAAACCCCACAACTAAACCACAAAGTCCTGGCATCTCGCCCTCTCTGAGGGGCAGCAGCAGGGGCCTCACGCAGAGGCTCTGCCTCCAGGTCACAAGGCTGCGCTGGGGGCGAGGTGTTGGCGGCTCTGACGGCCATGACCAGCACGGAAGGACCTGCTTCAGAGCCCGGCACTGGCTCTGGAGAAACCCTCCGGTCCTGTCCTGGGGCGTCCCCTTAGCTGGTGTTCATGTGGTCAGGGGGTCACCCTAGGCCGGAAGTCTCAGCCCTGGGAGCCGACTCTGAGTGGTGCGTCCCCTCTGCTTCATCCTCTCCCTAGGAAAGAGCCAGTGAGTCAGACACGCTCACGGGGGCCATCTCCCCTCTGTGTATCAAAGACTCTGTGGGAGATCGAAAACCAGCATAGCCAGCTCCTGGACACCAACTATTCCCTAGACTCCCTGAGTCTCCCTGGCCCCATTGCACTCACAGACAAAGTAAACCCCACACACACACACAAGGTCCCTAAAGTCTCTCCCATCACAGAATCCCGTGATGCTAAGCGTCTCCCCACATGGGTCAGGACAGCAGAGGGGATGCGTGAGGGTCAGTGCGGGAAGCCCCTGTGCTCAGCCCTCGCAGGTGGAGGCTGGACGGGAAGGGATAGTGTCCGGCCCATGAGTCCTCCGTGTGGACACGATGGAGGGACAGGCCCAGGGCAACCTGTAGATACATTTAAACAAGAGAAATGACACTGTCACTGGTCCCATAATGCTGAAATACAGTTGAGCAAACTGCAATTTGTCATGTTTTCCCCAAATGCTTCCCTCCAACCTCCACCCACCATCTGTCCCTTTGCCCACAGTGGGGGTTTTCCATGTTTGTGGGAGGCAGAGTCCTGGCTTCCATAGAGAGGAAGACTTGGTTTCCCTGACATTCTTCAGGTGACCTGACCCAGGCTCCCTGGCAGGTGACCATGCGTGGGACCTGACAGAGGACTTGGGGACACAGAGCAGGAGGCAGGTGGCAGGTGGCAAGGGTGGCAGTGACACACTCTGTCCTGGGGCATCAGGGCCAGCTTGGAGCAGAGGAGCCATGTGCAGCCGGGATGGGTGGTGAGAGCCTGGACACCACACCGGGGAGGGACAGTGCTCCTGGGGAAGCCCCCCTGGCATGGGTGGGGGAGTGCTGTTTCCTATGTGGAACCTTAGGGGAGTTTGGAGTCTTTGAAAAAAATGAGAACACATATGCACACCCCTTTCTGCATCTGTGTATGTTTTCATCTTTGGCTACTGTCCATGCAGTGGTCACTGTGGGTCTAGGACTACATACGTACGTCCCACGTACTCACCTATCCACTGCATATAGTAAAGGCCAATCAGAAAGCATTTGGACCCTAAGTCTGTCTAAAAGGGCGAGAAACCCATCCAGGGATAGTGAAAGATTTCATTTTTGCTGAGCTGATACCCATTCCTCGTGTCCACCAAACAGACTTCACAGGCCCTCGGAGCCCCCGATCACTGACATCGGGGTCCCAACCTGGCTGAGCCCCAGGATGCATGCGGGAGTGTCACAGATACCCAGGATCCCCAGACCCAACCCCCCAGAGTGATGAGCAGGGGGGATCAGTCCTCACCTAGCCCTGCAGGTAAGGCCGACGCACCCCAGGGGTCCGGTCTCCTGCTGCTGCTGAAGTGGCACTGAAATCCCACACCGCACCCGCATCCCCATAAGCACAGACCCTCAGCTCTGCTCTTGACCCCTGTGCTCACTGAAGTGGGGGCTCCCTTGTCCCGACCTTCTCCACACAGGGTCAAACTATGCAGTGGCTCTGCGGGTGTCCAGGTCACCCCACACTGGGGGACCGGGGTTCAGTCCCACGCCTTCACTTCCTTCTCGCCACCCCCTCTTCCATACTCGAGACTTCTAATGTCATCTACATCACTCACCTCCTAGTCTGTTCCTAACTCAGACACTTCACCTGCGCCCAGACTTATCTGTCCCACTGCCAGCATCGACCGCATTTCTTACAGAGCTCAGCTTCAACGCTCCTAAACGAACACCTCGGATGCCATTTCCACAAATGCGCTGCTTCTGAAGTCCTCCCTACGTCCTGCAGGCCTCCACACTCTGCCTGCACAGCCTGGAATTTGGATGTCCTCGTGACCCCTCTTTCTCACAGCCCAGCTTTATCCATGAGGAAATGCCACCGAGTCCATCTCTAGATAGATCAGACCAACCACTCCCTAGTATTTTCCTGCTCCCCTCGACAAAGTTATCCTCCTGGAATCTGCGCTCGTGTCCTCCATTTATCAGCCCACCTCTCGCCTTCATCTCTTGATCCTGCACACAGCCAGACTGAGGCTTCTCAAGGGGAGTTGTCCCAGTCTACTTCTGTTCAGAAAGAGTTCGTGATTGCACATCTTGTTCAGAGAAAAGCCAAAATCTTCCAGGGTCCTTGAGGTCCAGAGATGTGGGGGCTCAGATCCCAGCTCAGGCCTTCTGCTCCAGCCACAGAGACCCCCTCACTCTTCCCGGACACACACATCCCCACCCTTCTGCATCTGCACTGGAGCTTCCCTGCCCAGACAGAACAGCCCCTGACATTCTCATGGGCGATGCACGTCCTCAAATTTTTCTGTAAGCTCACTTCCCCACACTGACCATGCTGTCCCCACACCCTGACAGGCCCACAGCCCTGTCAGCTTCCTATGGTCACGTCCCTATGAACTGTCACACAGTCCCAGTCTCCCTCCCCACTAGGACACACGCTCGCAAGCCAGGAGCCTGGGCCAGTTGTAGCTCACTGGGGCTTCCTAGCCACAAACACAGATGGCACCGCTGTCAGGTGAAGGAGCAGAGTAAACACCTCCCTGCTGTATGGTAGTGTCTTTACTGGTGTGGCTCAGGCCAGGCTATGCACATCCCACCCAGTGACTTCGGTGCCCCCTGCTCCTCCCCAGGTGCTGCTCTCCTGACCCCAGAAAACATCCCTAAACAGAAACCCCACGCTGGAGGCATAGGAAAATTATCTCAACCACCAGACACTCCTGTGAGTGGGGCCACGTGGCCCTGTGGGGACAGTGATAGATGCCTCCTGCTGCTGTCAGCGACAGGGACACCCAGAGGACAAGGGCCTGGTCTCCACACATGGAAAAGGACAGCTGTGCTCCAGGAAAGCCAAAGACATCTATGCTGCCTGAGGCCCCTACTCTGGCCTGAGCCCAGCTGACCCGGCCACTCACAGCCTCCACCCCCAACCATGGACAGGCCAAGCCAGGTGGTGTCTGCGTCCCTGTGGTCACAGGCCCTGATGGAAAAATGTCCTGATGAGGGTCCTCTCATCCTTTCCTGTCCTCACCTATATAGACTGAAGCACAGCACAGCAAACATGATTCTGGAAGGTCTTTGGGGCCTCCTTTTATTTCCTCTCAAATTTTAGGAACCTTTCAAATTACCCATCAACCTCATGTGTCAAGAAAAAAATAGCTTCACATTTGTATTAGTGCTTAAACAGGGAAGTGGACGCTCTTCCTAGGATGACATCAGCCCTGCATCTGCAGGAACAGGAAAGTCATCTGAGACAACACAGGTCAGGGTGGGAGGGTCCTGGTGGGCTGGGCTGGGCCAGTATCCCACTGCCTCCCATTATCTAGTAAGAACACAGACATATGCAGATGCCCTTTGCAGCAAGAGAAACCAGGGGGTCTTGAAGTCACAAAGTGGGAAAAAGAAGAAACCCTGCATCACTCAGTCCCCACAAGGCAGCTGTCTCACAGCTGCCACCGCAGAATGTTCCCCTCACAGCTCCCCCATAACCTGGTCCCTCCTCTCTGCCCCAGCCCCTCCCACGCAGGTCCCAGGGTCTCACCTTTAGGGGCTGAGAGACACATCAGAGCCCTGGGCACTGTGGCTGCCTGGGGGAGAACAACACAGAACCTGGTCAGAGCCACGAGAGAGGAGACCACAGGAGGGGCTGATGGGGTGACTCCCCCAGGGGCTCCATCTACACTGTCCCAGGGGCTCAGGGACCAAACCCCTGATCCACACTCACCTGCAGCCTGAGTGTAGCTTCCTCCTTTTCCACCTACAGGGAGAAACATCATGTGAGATAAGTCAGGTCAGAGGCTTAAAGGAATCTTCTAATACTGGACCTCAGGGAAGTTTCCTGTCCCAGAAAACCCAGGGCAGGACCAGGAAATACGAAGAAAGCAGATAGGGGAGACTGGGCCAACTGCCTCCTAGAGTCTGTCCTCAGCAAGGACCTTCCCCTCTCTCACATTTACTGAGAACATGGCTCCCATCACCAGAACTATCAAGGTGAGCGATTTGTGATTCATTTTAAGTGTTTTTAAAAAAGAGCAATCAGCTCCAGACTGGGCAATATGTATGTAGATGGTGCTTCCCATTAACATGGAGAGCAAGTTCTCCCTGAAAGCCCCTGTGGACAGGATCCCCCACTCCCTCCCTACCTGAGCGCTTCTTCTTCTTCGACATCACAGCTGCAGCCACCGCAGCCCCAGTGAGCACAGCTCCAAGGAGAACCAGGCCAGCAATGAGGCCCCCGGTGGGGGTGGAGGACTGAGGAGAGGGCTCTGGAAAGGAAGGGGAGGGGAGACCCTGAGCCCTGGGCCTCATCCTGACCCTCTGAAGGATCCAGAAGGGCCCCTGATCCCAGCACCCCCAAGAACAACCTCTGAGTTCACATCCTCCTCCTTACCCCATCTCAGGACTCGGGGCTCAGGCAGCCCCTCATGCTGCACGTGGCACGTGTATCTCTGCTCCTCTCCAGAAAGCACCACCACAGCTGCCCACTTCTGGAAGGTTCCATCCCCCCCAGGCCTGGTGTCCACCAGCTCCATGTCCTGGGTCATGTCCTCCCCATCTCGATACCAGGTCAGGGTGATCTCCGCAGGGTAGAAGCCCATGGCCCAACACTTCAGGGTGACCTTCTGGTCAGAGGTGGGGCGGAGGGTCACGTGTGTGTTTGGGGGATCTGAGGAGAGTCAGAAAATTCACACTTTTGGTGTCTTCCATGGACACTGAGGCAGAATTAAGTGACCATCCTCAGAACAGACAGGCAGTGGGTTTGGAAAGAGTAAGCACAAATCCAGAAACCAGCCTGCTCTGGGAAATCTGAGATAATCTCCTTGAAAGTTAGAAATTTCTAGATTCTCAGACCCTGGGTGGAAAGATTCAGATCTCTAAGGAGGAAAAAACAGTCTTTGCTCCTGATCTGGGAGGAGGCCGAATGAGGACTTAATGTCTCTCTCAAACTAGCAAGACCTTCAGTGAGAATTCAAGGGTCACAGGTGGGGTTTGACTATTATTCTTTTTTCCAGCCAGAGAGGGTTTGGGAGGCCTGGCTAGAGCCTCTTACCTGTTCGCTGTAGCGTGTCCTTCCCGTTCTCCAGGAAGCTGAGGAGTATCTCCACGCACCTGCCCTCCACATAGTTCCTGACTTCCTCAGCCCATCCAGATGCCTCCCACCTGCGCTTGTCCTTTTGGGCCACCGGGTCCGCAGGGGTCCAGGAGCTCAGGTCCTCGTTTATGGCCATGTAATCGGCGCCGTCGTAGGCCCACTGCTCGTACCCACGGAGGAAGCGCCCGTCTGGCCCAACGTCGCAACCGTACATCCTCTGGATGTTGTGAGACCCTGTCCCAGACCCGCGGTCAGCCTCACGGTCAGCTCAAATCTCCATGTCTTCTCTGCCCTCCCCTGTCCCGTCCCGGATAAACTTAAATGAAATCAGGTGAAAATCCTTGGGCCTGCCCAGAGGGCAGGTGCTGGAAGGCCTCACCGCCTCGGGGGGGCGCTCTGACTCAGAGATGAGTTACTCCATGTGGCCATCGGGGTGGGGTGGGGCCCGCCATCGGGGTGGGGTGGGGACCCGGCCCAGACCTCCTCTCACCTGCCTTACTCTGGTTGTAGTTGCCACGCAGGATGTTCAGGCACCTGTGGCCCTGCTGGGTTTTACTCTTCTGGGCTTGTGTCTCCTGTTCCCAGTACTGCGGCTCCATCGGCTCCACCCACAGCGCTCCTGGCTCCACCCTCAGGCTTGAGGAGTCACTGTCAAACCACTGGACCTGCGTGTCGTCCACGTAGGCCACTTCCACATGTCGGGGCTCCCTGAGGCCCGGCCGGGACACCACGGTGTAGAAATACCTCAGGGAGTGGGAGCCTGGGGGCGAGAGGGGGGTACCTGAGCTGGCCTAGCCTCCTAGTGAGGGATCTGGAGTGATCGGCTCAGATCCAGGGGGGAGAAACAGACGAAGGGCTGTGTGAAGTGATAAGGGGTGGCAGGATAGAGAAGGGCCAGGGTTTAGGGGGGCAAAAAGCAGGCAGGAGTTTGGGTGGGAAAAGAGCCAGGGTAGGGCTGGGCAGAGGAGGGGCACGGGGACGGGCAGAGGCTGCCTTCTGAGGCCCTGCACCTGCGCTAAAGCCCCCTCCTTCCTCGAGCACCGCCTTTTCCCTCCCAGCCCAAACTCACCCGCCCAGGTTTCTGTCAGGGCCAGGGCCGCCAAGAGCAGCAGCAAGCACGCTGATGGCAGCATCACCTGTCCTCCAGGTCTGCGAGTCCTCTCAGGTGTATGAAACTTTCAACAGGGGAGGCAGCGGCAGCGCTGCTGACTGGTTGCCGGGAGACTGCAGGCAGTGGGGAATGAGACCTTGCTTGAGTCAAGAGTAAGCAGGCAGGAAGACAATAAGCAGGTTATGAAAGGGAAACTGGGCAATCCCCACCCGTGACCACCCCCACCCAAGACGCCATCCTGAGAACCTGGTCCAGGGACCTGGGAATTTCCCTGGCCCCTCCTCTTGGCACACGAAGCGCAGTCACATTGTCTCCCTGAGTCCAGGCCAGGGACTGAGTCAGCAACGGGACCCAGAAGCAAACACAGTGTGAAATAATAACAGGATGTATTTACCCAGAGAGAGGAAGTAAGGGGGCAGGAAGTAAGGGATGCCACATGCGGTCAGTCCCACCCCAGTGAGCTGAGACTGAGCTCCAAGCGAAAGCCTTCAATGGCTTATTGGTGGCCCCTCCACAGACACCCTCCCCTCTCATCAGTGTTTAACTGCCGAATCGCTGGCTGTACCATGGCCAACGTGCCCGCAGTCCAACTGCTGAAAATCCAGCAGTTTGTTTCGTCAGAAGTCCAGGGCTGCTTCATTGCCCAAAGCCCCCGCCCTGCCATTTCCCATCAGCCTGACTCAGGGACCGGGGTTTGAGAAGCCCCACCTCCCGCACACAGCTGGCTGTGCTGCCGCCCACCGGCCAGAGGTGGCCTCACTCCCTCTTACACTGCTCCACCTGCAATTTTTGTCAGCATGTCTCTGGTGGTGAGAGTCAGGTGTCTGAGTATTGGGGTGCAGCTCAGAAGACAGTTTTCTCTGTAGTGCATTCACTAGAAATAACAATCTTTCATGAGACATTGTCTATACATAAGCTGTGTGAGAAGAAAATAGTCCATTATTCAAGCCAAAAAAAAAACAAAACAATAACAACAACAATGGTTAAGAGAGGTTATTAAAGGAGATCAGGCTTGCTCAGGGCGGCAGGGCAGTGGGGAGAGATGACTGTTAACTCATTTTCTCTCCACCTTCATCTCAAATGACATTCTATCAAACAGCAAAATGTGTCTCTAAGTAAATCCAACTCCAATCTACTTTATCAATTTTTGCATAAACTCATTGGCCAGAATACCCAAGTAGGATTTCTTCGACTGTTTGAAGTTGCCATAGGGGACCTTAGACTGAGTTCTCAGCATCCTGCCTGCCCAAGCCTGGGCAGCCGGGACCCTGAGGAGACAGCCAGGGGCCATCTTGAGCCAGTGAGCACCAGGCAACCATAATGGGCGTGGAAGGTGGGGCTTGTCTGAGCTGAGGGGAGAGGGGCTTTGCACCTGATTCAGTGTTCACACCTGTGGAGAGATGCCTCTTCTCAGGTCCCTAGGCTTTTGCTCTCGGGTTTCCAGACCTGCCAGTGGAGGTAAGCTCCCTGCTCTCCTTGGGGACATGGGGGTCTCTGCACCTTCCAGAAAGGGGGCAGCCACTTTTATTCCTGGCCCTGCTGAGTGTCAACTCCAGGAGATGTCAACTGTGACATTTCAGGCAAAACTTGGTAATGTGACCATGTTTCCAATTCTCTACTGAAGGGGAAACAAATAAAATTCCCTACTGAAATGATGCCAAGAAACACATTGTCATGTGTAGTAAGAATGTTACCCTTTCCAAATTACAGTGATATAAAGGACAGAGAAAAAACAATGAATTTATTTCTGCGCACAAAACACAATTAAACTTTGCTGCAGGGGCCCGCCGACGCCCACGCCCTCGTGGGGCAACCAATTAAAGTGTTGCAATAGGAAGTTGGTTGCAGCAGCTTCCGCATGGGTTCCTTCTGGCCAGGGAGCTGACCAACATGGTGCAGCTGACCTCTCCTGTTGCACCCCCTGCTCCCCTCAGCAGTGTACTTCATCAGTCCGCCTGTTCTGCTCCCCACTCTTTGTCTCTGGTGAATCCTCTCAGCCCCAGCACCTCGTCTTGTACCAGAGTACTGTATGCATGAATAAATACATCTTTCTGCCTTGTACCAGAGTACTGTATGCATGAATAAATACATCTTTCTGCCTTGTACCAGAGTACTGTATGCATGAATAAATACATCTTTCTTTTTTTTAATTGCTGTAGATCCTGGTCTGTTAAAAGGAAACAATTTTCTTTGAATCAACAAACAAAAAAGCTTCATTAACATTTCAAACAACAATGTATCAAGTTCACTCAGCTCTAAGTAGAAAACTCTCAATCTTGAGCTCTGGCGATTGGCTTGGGCCCTAAAATATAGCTGAGTCCTTCTCCTGTTAATTTCTTCAGAAACAATTTCTGTAAATAATAAATCTCTGACACAACCATAATGAAAGATCTGAAGATAATATAGTTGGAAAGAAATCTGTTCAACATTATAACTTACACTTTTCAAAGGAACAACCAAAATGATGAGTGATACTAAACCAGACACAAAGTGCACATAAAATGTGTTAGAGCCTGGATATCAATATTCAAGCATATACCAAGGTGAACATCTCTCTTAAGCAACAATGTTTCCCGTGAAGTTCGGGTGCAACAGGAACTCTCATTAGGTCAAATTTGTCTGATGTCTTTCTCAAAAGGAAAGGCAGAGATTGTATGGAGTCTCTTAGGAGCACTAACCAGTTGCCATAAAATTTCCTATGACCAGTCAAGCAAAAGACTAAAATCTGAAACATTTTAGACTCCTGAGAACTTGTATCACAAGTACTAGAGAACACAACATTTATCTGTCCAATGTCACAAGGTCAGATACCAAGGCTCCGTCTACACCCCACAGTCCACACTACAGAACTGGGCCCTCCCCATCTTTCACCTCATCCCCAAAGAGACTCATTTTTTGTCCTGCCAAACTGTAACTTATATCAGTTCCACAGTTGAATTCTTAGTCTTCAAAAACCTTTCATTTTGCAGCTCCCATTTTATCGGCTATCTAGTGGCATGAGCAGGGCCCTCCAGGGGCCTTCTGTGTGTGCCCCACACCAGTGACCAGGCTGAAAGGGAAGAATTGCACCTACAATTCCTATTTCCAACAAACCATTAAAATCTGAATTAGGGTCCTCCCTGGTGGCGCAGCGGGTTAAAGCACAGCACCAAGAAGCTAAAGCCACTTCAGCATGAGTTAGATCCCCACCCAGGAGGTGACCACATGGCGCGGCAGACCTCACCTGGCCACCTGCTGCTCCCCTCAGCAATGTACTTCGTTGATCTGCCTGTTCTGCTCCCCACTCTGTCTCTGGTGAATCCTCTCATCCCCTGTACCTCTGGCCTGTACTCCCATTCTGCATGCATAAATAAATGTTTTTTAATCTGAATTAGTTTTCGTTAACCACAGATCATCTCAGACCAAGTTTTCTGGAAGCACTTGTACCGTTTTCCATTATTATTTTTGGGGGTTTTCTTTTTCTTTCTCAGATTTCTTACAAGCAAAAGACTGACAAGTTTTTAAAATTTAGATGTTGGGGAATTTCTTATTGTCATTAACCGCATATAATCCCGGAAGTTGCTTCCTGGAAGCATTTGTACAAGTTCCCTTTCTATATTATCACTAACAGCTTCTTCTTTTTTTTTTTCAATTAATTAAATGTTCCCCTGATGGGGTACCCCATCAGTTATATCCACCACAGTGCACCCACCACCACTTCACCCCTATTCCACCACCCTAGAACACTGTGATCTGTCTTCCTTTTCTCTTTCTTTTCCCTCTACGCTAACTTAGAATTCAAAACTGAACAGTGTTTCCATAGCTACCAAGACATCCGTCAAACGGTCCCCAAGTAGAGCTCCATGGAACTAGCATTATGGGCTTCTACAAGTCAAGTGGAGGCCGGACCCTACTCCGCCTCTGCTCCCCCTTCCTGGACTACCGTGTTCCTCCCTTCCCCCCTTCATGTCTTCAATCCTTCCGCTTTGCCTGTATTCGCTCACGAGTCACATGCCTGAAACTCCATCACTGCTGTCATTGTTTTCTCCTCTGTTTCCCAAGTTCTCATTCCTTCTCCCTGTTTTGCTTCCAACCTGGGATACCTGCTTACCTGTTTTCCAGTGTTCCCCTTCCTTACAGCAGGCGCACTGGTTCTTCTTTAAGGGTTAGCTCTTCCTTCTCTCCACATCCCTTCTCTGCTCCTCCTCAACCCTGTCCTGCTTTCTCTCCTGTCATCTCCTCTCTGGCATATACACCACTGAGAAGGACTTAGGTCTAGAGCACCTCCTGTCTTGGCTAATGTCCTCATCACAGTCAGAGGGCTCTGTCCAATGAGTGCCTGGTAGCCCCCCAAACGTCTTCTGGATTTATGTCTGTGAAAGTACCGTAAGTCTGAGTAATCATTTGAAGAAACTCCCACAAATCCTCTTTTGTTAATTCTCATATTTTAGTTTCCTTTGTGATGTGGTAAAGTATATTGATTGATGTTCCAGTGGGGAACCATGCTTGTGCCTCTGATATAAAACCCACTGGCTCATGATCTATAATCCTTTTGTTCCCAGATGGATTTGATTTGTTATGATTGTATTAAGGGTTCTTGTACCTCTTTCCATTAGGGAGGTGGCTCTATAGTTTTGTGTGGTGTTTTTTATTTTGTTTTGTTTTGTTTTGTTTTATTACAAAGTTTATTTTTACATCATTTTGCACATTTTTTTTTCCATCTCGATTGTAATCCCCGCGGGTTTCCCACCACCAAATGTGGGGTGTTTTTGTTCAGTCATCTTTGCTTGGTTTTGTATTGTTCAATCCTGGCCTCGTGAAATGTCTTAAGAATATTCTTCATTTCTCAGTTTTGAAAGAGTTTGAGCAGGTAGGTATTAACTCGACTTTGAAATTTGGTAGAACTTACATGTGAAGGCATTTGGTCCTGGAGTTTTGTTTTGGTTTTTTTTTTTTTTTTTTTTTTTGAGATTTGGGTTCCTGTTTCAATTTTCTTACTTGTGACTTGTTTATCCAAAGTCTTGTATTTCTGCCCTACCCAGTGTTAGATGATTACAAAATTCTAAAAATCTGCCCATGTCATCTAGGTTGGTGAATTTGTTTTGCATATTAATACTTATAGTAATCTCTTATCTGAACTTCTCAGTATCTGTTGTAACTTCTCTTTCATTTTTGACCACACTTACTTGAGTTTTCACTCACCTTTTCTTAGCAAACCTAGCTGAAGCTTGGGCTGTTTA